TACTTGGATATACAGCTGTAATTGAATAGAGCTTTTATACGTGGTCACTGATACGTGGTAATGCAGGCCGCGTTATTTTAACCAATCGTTTGTTTTTCTTTGTCACCTAACAATAGCTGAGCTGCGCTATTAGGTGACTTGCAATTATGCAAATTATTGAAGGTAATGCCAGTTGCATTAAGTCATAATTGATTGAACTCTCCGATATTTAATTAGAAATGAAATAAAACGGCACGTAATCATTTTTCAGCCAATAGCATTCTGCGGTCAAAGACACTACATGACAAACTTTCACGTGGAATATTTGCGCGCACATTTCAAATTTAGACCGCCAACTGTCAAACGTTCTATTTGCATCAGCTTTTACCTTTCAATAATTTTGCTTTTTCTTAACAAATCGATTTCAATATGCCTAGCGGTGGTGCTGTTGGCGATTTTCGAACCATTCTTCAGCAGATTAAGGAGATCAGAACACTCGTTTCATCTAAYRACAGTGCGACATGCAATCAGTCCATACAAGAACTCGACACGAGCTTAACCGTTGTCGGAGGAGATGTCAGAATGCTTGGAAATGAAGTTTTTAAGGGTCTCGACGATTTGGAATCACGTCTTACTGCCAGCGTCCAGAAAAAACTCCACGAAGTTCCAAAAGAAGGAAGATTCAAAGGAATCCAGACTTATCGGTAAGTGTCGCATTTCAATTTTAGCGTTGAAAAAGAAATACATTCGAGCATCATTTTACATTAGTGTTGTTTCTCTAACGCGACCTATTCTACTCCTATTCTAATCATGCTTTCAATCTCTTAAGCATCATGTTAGGACAAAGTTAAAGAATCTAGGGTTGTCTTGGGACACTTCTAAAAAGTAAGTAGTCAGTAGTATATTCCCAAATACTGAAGTGAAGAAATCAGGAGTTTTTTGAATTCAACTGAGCTCACACTTTTGCTATTTTCTCTAACGTTTAATTCTTATACGCTACAGGGAAAGCGATCCTGTTAACGTTGCTGTCGCTGAAGCTTGACTCGAGACACGCAGCTGCGTTAACTCCATCGCAGAAGAGGATGATGATAAAGCGTACTAATGGAGAAGATAGCGATAGATCTGAAACTGTGGTCCCACAAAGTCTTCAAAAGTGGATAAAGGACTCTTTCTAAGTGACTGCATTGTCTTTATATTAATGTAAACGTGAACATTTGATAAAATAAAGAACAAAGCAATTCATTGGTTTTACCATTTGCAAATATATATGTCGTGAATATTTCGGGTAAAACCCGAATTACCCAACTGGGACTATGCAGATATTATGCGAGGTAAAACGAGAATTATCTTTTACATTATTATCTCTACAGAGATAATGCGGGTGTAACACATGTTACTGTTACATTTTACCTATMGGTAAAACGCGGTAAAACGGTACGTTTACCCCTGATTATCCCGCTGCATTATGTGGTAAAATCAGACTTATGCTAACGGGAAAATTTAAGATTATGCGGGGTTTATATTACGTTAGGATTACATAATTCCATCGTTATCGCACGGTATAACGCGACTTTTTGCCGTGG